CCATTGCTGATAATTGGTTTGTTCAAATTTTTACTTCTTGCTTTCGTTTTGGGAGATTATATGTTTTTAGAAATTTATCTATTTCTTCTAAGTTGTCCAATTTGTTGGCATATTGTTTTGCATAAAATTCTATTATAATTGTTTGTATTTCTGTAGTGTTGGTTGTTATTTCTTATCTTTCATTAGTGCTTTTGTTTATTTGGGTTCTCTCTCTCTCTCTCTCTCTTTTTTTTTCTCTTGATGAGTCTGGCTAGAAGTTTACTAATTTTGTTGATTTTTCCAAAGAACCAGCTCCTGGTTTCATGGATCTGTTCTACTAATTTTGTTTTTGTTTTGTTGTTGTTTAATTCCTGTATCATTTCTTTTTGCTCTAATCTTTATTATTTCCTTCCGTTTGCTGGGTTGGATTTTGTTTGTTCTTCTTTTTCTAGGTCCTTTAGGTGTAACGTTATGTTTTGTACTTAAGATTTGTCTTGCTTCTTGTGATAGGTCTATATTACTATAATCTCCCATGATAGAACTGCTTTTGCTGCAACCAAAAGGCTTTCAGTCATTGTGTTTTCACTTTCATTTTTTTTCCATGTAATTTTTTATTTCTTCTTTGATTTCTTGGTTAACTCATTTATAGTTATATATATTTATATATATTATGTTATTATTATATTATTATTATAATATTATATTATTATAATTATATTATATGTAATTATATTATAATTATATATTTATATAAATTATAAATCTATATTTTTATATTTATATAAATTACATATTTATATTTATATATTTATATAAATTATAAATTTGTATTTATATATTTATATAAATTATAAATTTGTATTTATATTTTTATACTCTGCTGTTTTAGGGTGTAATGTTTTGAATATGTCTGTTAAACTTATCTGAATGGAACTTTCTTTTGAATCACAATAATAGCAACATAAAACTTCCCTATCCTTTCTCTCTGTTTCCTCAATATGTTGCTTTTAGCTGTAGAAATTCATCTGTAATTGATGAAAGGTTTTAACAATCCTCCCCCTCCCCAGATTTTTGACCTTTGCAGAGATCCTTGAGAGAAATCAACAAAGTGAGACATGCATGACCTGTTTTTTAGATTGTGAGTCCCACTAAATTAATATCAAAGAAACATTATACTTTACAGGTTAAATACTCTGAGCAACATGATAGTAATGAAGTATCCTCAAATGAGCAAAATCGGAATAGTGTAAAATTATACATTAGTTTATATTAAATAGTAGTAATTATTATGTTTTGAACATTAGTTTTAATTCAAGTTGCCATGTATATTATATCTTTATGTTAATAATCAATAGAAATGTACCTTAGTTTTGCTTAAAGCAGTTGTTCTTTTGGGGTAAAGTAAAAATAAAATAAAAATATTAAACCACCTTATTTTTCCTTTAGAATGATTTTGGGTAACTATTGAATTATGGTGAATTCAAATTTCTAATAATAATAAGGTAAATAATCTCTCTCTTAAACTAAATTATTTCAAATGGCATAATGTCTGAATGTTTGAAATTAGTATTTTTGTATAAAAGTAAAATCAAGGGTACCTGGGTGACTCAGTGGGTTAAAGCCTCTGCCTTCAGCTCAGGTCATGATCCCAGGGACCTGGGATCGAGCCCCACATCTGGGCTCTCTGCTCAGCAGGGAGCCTGCTTCCCTTCCTCTCTCTCTGCCTGCCTCTCTGCCTACTTGTGATCTCTGTCTATCAAATAAATAAATAAAATCTTAAAAAAAAAAGTAAAATAAAATAATAACATTTGAGAAGAGGTGTGGAAATACCATGACATATAGGGCTCAGACTGGTATAGTAAAAAACTTGATGACAAGTATCTAATCAATCTGGGTTTCATACATGGCTACATTAAGTGCTAGATCAGCAGTGTTTAAATAGATTACTTGCAACTAAAATATTCTCTGTCAAGAACCTTGGCCAGAGTTAGCTCTCTTTTTCCTAGAATATTCACTCTATGTAAATGATGTGATGTCATGATTTGGGAGGGTTAGTGATGCACTGAGATGTGGGGAGGCTTGACCTCCTCTGCTAAGACAGTGTTTCTCAACTTCCACACCTGACTGATCTTTTGGGCTGCACGAATCTTTTTTGTGGGGGGCAGCCCTGTGAATTACCGGATGTTTAACAGCATCTGTGGCCTCTACTCACTAGATGCTAGTAGCATCTGGTAGTGTCCCACCCCCAGCTGTGACAACCAAAAATGTCTCCAGAAATTGTTATATAGGGATGGGAGGAGGAAATCAGCCTTGGTTGAAAAACCCTGAGTTAAAACAATAAAATGATGTAAATAGGTCACTACCTCTTCTTCAGGTCCACCACCAGATCTATAAAGATAACTTCTCATCAAAACATACTTTACCAAATATACTGTCTACCTTTCAGGTTTGGCATTTACCACTTTGCTTATTAAGGCTGTAGTTCTTTTCTTCTCCCTTTGCTATTATGTTCATTTTCTCTTATCAAGTCTTTTCTCCCCCTTTCTGAATTTACCCTATACTCAGTTAAACCAAACTTCAAAAATGATGTTCCTTCACTTTCCTCCTACAACTTATTCCTATTTAAAGGAGAGCAGGTTCTGATCTGAAAAATCATAGCAAACAAACTTAATCCTATTTTTTAAAGCCCTGACTATCCCTAATGGCCAGGGAAATAGAGATTTTAGTATGCTATGTGAGTCCAACTCCGACTTTGTTCATACCATGTCTTCCTGTGATAAATTTCTTATAGCCTGGCAGTAACAATGGGTCCCCAGTTTTGTACTTTCTCTTTGCCACATACTTCTGCTCCCATGGATATTAGATAATTGGATTTTTGCTTGACCTGTGGAAAACTTTAAGTACCTCCCTGTCATTTAAGAAGATTTTCTGTTCGTCTAGTCATGCCAGACCACAAGTAAAACACAGAACGTAGAATTATAGCTATTTACTAACCACTTAAAATCCCTTACTGAAAAAAAATGCCACTTTTACTTTGGTTTCTTTTATGACTCCTTCATGAATAAAGTTTGCATTCCATAGTTATGTTTCTCAATGGTTTCTTATAATTATAATTGGGCAAATATAATTATATTAAAATGTAAGAAATACAAATGGAGATTTTCACACTTGAGAGATGATTAGTAGACTAGAAATACCAACTGACATATTTTTTAAATATCCAAATTACTTCATATTTTTGAATAATTTTTGAAGAATTTTTACTTTAAAATATTTTGTAGTTTTTAATAGCGAACATTTATTGGCTATTTATTATGTCCTAGGAAAAGTTTCTAAGCAATTTATTTGTATTAACTCATTTTGCCTTTACAACAACTTCACTGTAAGTAAAACAAAAACAAAAACAAAAAACTGAGGGTCAGAGAGGGTTATGTAAGTTGTCTAAAGTCCAACGTGGCTAGTAATCCAGGGGCCAAGTTTCAAATCCAAGAAAAGTGAGGTTCCAGGTTTGGCCATACAATAAAGAAGATGGCCTAAAATTGTGGGGGGCGGGGGTCACAGGCAGACATCATGCATATGTTATGCTTGAATTTGTGCACATGTCTAGTGTGCTTGAAGAATGGCTGAGGGTATATTTTGGCTTACCCAAAGGAATGGTTCCCTTACATTATTCAGGGACTCTTGAGGCATTTCCACATAACAATGAGAATCCTTTAACTGATAGTTTGGATTTGGTTTACTTGGTTATCCACTCAGGTGCCTTCTAGAGCTAAAGTTGTCTGGGTCTATGCACTTTAAACATGAAAGAAAAACTTACTTTTATTTTTACCTTATGGATGCTATTTTTTTTTATTTTTAAGATTTATTCATAGTAGAACTTTTATTCCAATATACTGGAAGAAATAAAAAAATAAAATTAATTTCTTCTGATTTTTCCTCCCATATCTGGAAATTTCAAGCAGATAGAATGCCAAAAAATATGAACAAAATCAGTGGTTCTTTGATTTTACATTTAATTGAAGTTCTTATAATTAACATTATCACATTTGCAATGGGAGTTCTTAGGTTAAAATCTGTGCTTTTATGTCAGTTGGGTGTCCATGTATTTGGAAATGTGACACTGTGTCTAATACAATAAAAAATAGAAGGAAATGATAGAAATATTGGTTTTAATGCAGCAATATGTGATTCAGTTTCCTCTTCTGATTTTTAAAATACTCAAGTTCATTTGAACATATTTAAATCTATTATCTGGGGGCGCCTGGGTGGCTCAGTAGGTTAAAGTCTCTGCCTTAGGCTCAGGTCGAGGTCCCAGGGTCCTGGAATCTAGCTCCACCCACATCGGGCTCTCTGCTCAGCAGGGAGCCTGCTTCCCTTCCTCTCTCTCTGCCTGCCTCTCTGCCTATTTCTGATCTCTGTCTGTCAAATAAATAAAAATCTAAAAAAAAAAATTAAATTTATTATCTGCACATACATTCTAGCTTCACTGCCTGAAAATTTGAAATATTATTACAGTGAAATGATTCTCTTAACTTTAACTGTTGTTCCGTTGCCATTTTTTGATGAACAAATATTATAGGACTTTTGTTATCATAAAACCTGCTTAACCTGCTTCCTCCTTCTTATTTGGAACATAATAATTTGCTTAGCATTTTTGAAAAATGTTGTCTGAATTTTTCCCTGAAATTGACTCTTATGTATCAGGAACTTAATCTGCCTTTATGTTTCTTTCTAGGAAAGAAAAATGTTTATTTTAAGATACAAAAAAATAAGGTTCCTTTAGACAACTTTATTGAGAAGTATATCAGAATATTTACACTTTGTCCTGTTCTTCTTAATAGACTAAAGCAAAATAAAAAAGACAAAAACAGAATATTTTTGAAGTTACTGGGCAGATAATAATATTAAACAATGGTTGAAGTTTAAACCATTTTTTAAAAATTTTATGTGTTGGTATTTTTCAATCTGTTTGTTATACTAAGTATATTAATGAGAATATATATATATTTTTTTTACAATAGGTTCCTGTCCTGAGACCACAGCAGGATGTGCCTTGGACAAAGGTATGCACATTTAAAATATATTTCCAATGTTCTCCATAAGTAAAGTATATAAATAGAAATGTTATAATAATAAAAATATTATAAAAATTATTAGTGTAATGTGCTTATATATATGGAAGTATAGTACATGTTCATGTTTATGATACACTCTTCCATCTGATAGAACATGATACTAGTGAGAAAACATTAGAATAAAAAATCTGATAATTAAATAAATATCATTTCCTTATCACAGAGACCCTTAATTCATACAGCATATATTCAAAGAATAGTTATCACTAATGCCCTTGAGAGTAAAACAATGGAACTATTTGAGGGAAGTTGTTTAACACAGTCTTTAGTGACTCTGATGATTAAATTATTGAAGGTAGGATATAAGCAAGTTAACTATTAGTTAAGAACTATCTAAGAATATCTAAGTTTTGGGGGACCAGAGAGTGAAATTATTTTAAAATTCCAAGTTGATTGCGGAAGAAGATGCAAACAGCAAAATAAATAGAGCTTGGTAAAAAGTATATAAATGCACTGCGGGAAAGATAATGATGAGAGTGCAAGGCCAGTACAGGATGCTTTTGATTCCAAAATGGAATGTTATTTTAAAAATGTGGACAAAGAACATTATAAATATCATGAATCATAATAACCTTGAATCCTGAGAGGGAGCTGAAAAGAATAGGTATACATTGAATTAAAGTACATAGTGGATGAAACAAGATGGGATTGGGAGGGAGACAAACCATAAGAGACTCTTAATCTCACAAAACAAACTGAGGGTTGCTGGGGGGAGGGGGGTTGGGAGAGGGGGGTGGGGTTATGGACATTGGGGAGGGTATGCGCTATGGTGAGTGCTGTGAAGTGTGTAAACCTGGCGATTCACAGACCTGTACCCCTGGGGATAAAAATATATTATATGTTTATAAAAAATAAAAAATTTTTTTTTGAAAAGTACGTAGTGGGAACTCCAGGAGTAAAGACAAAAGGAATTAAGATTCTCAGGGACTGTAAGGGAGAACGATGAAGGATGGAACTGGAAACTGATCCCACATACAGAAGCTATGAAAACCAGTCCTCTACGGAGGAAGTAGAAAGAAAAAATCGCTTAAAGTAGCACATAAGGAATGTGAGTTCTGGGATAAGGTACTAAAAGAAGGATTGTCATTTCTTTGGAAGTATTTAAATAATGAATGGGTTCACAAATGTTTGCTTATAGTTTCTCGAAAACTTCTTAGATCATTTACCCTATTTTGAGTCTTTCCACCACACAATGAATTGGGTGAGGCAGTTCTTTGATTTTTTTGTGTCATAAAGTAATTTCATATTTCAAGGAAAGTTGAAAGTTGGTTTGTGCTTAGAAAAAATGTGGATATATAAATATATGATATCATTAATAATTGATAACCTATTTTATGCAAACATAATACTTGGGGAAATACACTTATATACTCATCTTTGTATTTTAAATTTGGCTCAAAACATACTGTATGTGTTTTGCCATGTTATGTATCTATGAAAAAATAAACTTCTATAAGCAAATCATATACATATATGAATAATTGAGATTTAAAAACTGAAACATACTTCTAGTTTTTTTTTTAGTATGACTCGAGTCTATTTTTCATATACACATATATATATAAATATATATATATATATACACTTTTTTTTTTTAATCTTAGTTACTTTCAGGCTCTATTCAGAGACTGGTGTGACTTTTGAATATCCATGTAAAATATGCCAGCCAATGTGCTCTGCCAGACAGAGAATGAATGGCTTCAGGCACAAATCTCTGTTGTGTCAAGGCTTTGGCGTGACATTTGACAGGGAACTAAATCAAACATAGTACAATGCAAATAATCATGGTTTCCCATAGATACGCAGCCTCAACTTCAAGCCTGCTGTTAGTCATTACTACTCTTTCCCTTGGTATTTTAGGGAACATTTCCAGTAATAAACTGAAAACTATGGTATTTCCTGGTGCAAAGAAATAAGATGATCGTGGCTTTGAAATTGGACCTTCCTATCTTTGAAGTGTGGTTCTGTCACTGACTAGTTGTGAAATCTTGGGTAGGCTATTTCGGATAAAAAACGAATATACTAATGCTTATCACAGGGGTTGCAAGGATATTAAAATGATAAAATTGTCCTAAAGCACCTCTTCTACCTATTACATAATTAAATGCTATTTTACTTCTTCCAATGGGGTTTTGTGTTAGACTTTTTAATGATCATCTCAATCATTTTGTGAATGTAAGAGGATGACTCTAATATACATTTTTAAGTTTCAGGGTGTGTAAGCATGTGCAAAAATATTTGTCTCCATCTTTGGGTAGACATTCTTTCTGGTGAAGGAAAAGTCGTTGCAAATTTCTTGATCTTTTTTTACATTTGCTTCCTTTTTTAAAGAGTTGCATGTGATACAAAGGGCCTTTATGTTGCATAAGAGTGTCTGAATCTCCTTCATTTAATTTTAGGCTTTGTTAGTGTGCTCAAGGATAGAAAAACACATTGTAAAATGTAGGTAGCTTAGCAAAACTATATCTCCAGAGCATACCCACACTATCTTAGTTTAGTTCAGTAGCTCAGTTCAACTTCCTCCTGGGAAGTTATTATGTGTTATATGCACTGTGCTAGGTGCTAAAGATGTGAAGAAGAAAGAGATATGTTCTCTTCCCGGTAAGGACATTACAATCCTGGAAGAGAGAAGACACGTAAACATATCATTTAATCAATCAATCAATCAATTAATTAATTAATTTTTCAAAGGATTTTTATTTATTTGAGAGAGAGCGCATGAGCCAAGGGGAGGGGCAGATGGACAGGGAGAGGCAGACTTCCCCCTGAGCAGGAAGACCAATGACACAGGGCTCCATCGCAGGACCCTGAGATCATGACCTGAACTGAAAGAAGATGCTTAACAGACTGTGCCCTCAGGCGCCCCCCCCCATGTCATTAAAAGGGGAACCCTCTTACACTGTTGGTGGGAACGCAAACTGGTACAACCACTCTGGAAAACAGTTGGGACGTTCCTAAAGATGTTAAAAATAGAGCTAGGCTATGACCCAGCAATCACACTACTAATTATTTACCCTAAAGATAGAGATGTAGCAAAAAGAAGGGGTACATGCACCCTAATGTTCATAGGAGCAATGTCCACAATAGCCAAACTGTGAAAGGAACCGAGATGTCTTTCAACAGATGAATGGATAAAGAAGATGTGATTCATTTATACAGTGGAATACTACTCAGCCATCAGAAAGGATGATTATCTACCATTTACATTGACATGGATGGAACTGAAGGGTATTATGCTAAGTGAAATAAATCAATGGAAAGAAAGGCAATTATCACTTGGTTTCACTCATATGTGGAATATAGGAAATAGCATAGAGGATCAAAGGGGAAGGGAGGAGAAACTAATGGGAAGAAATCAGAGAGGGAGACAAACCATGAGAGACACTTGACTCGAGGAAACAACCTGAAAGTTGTGGAAAGGAAGGTGGGTGGGGGGATGGGGTAACTGGGTGATGAGAAGAGCACTATGTGTTATGTACAACTAATGAATCATTGAATACTATATCAAAAACTAATGATGTACTGTATGTTGGCAAGTTGAACATCATTTAAAAAAATGATGTTGTAACGGTACAAAGGAGAGATGCCAATGGAGTGCCATTAAAAAGTCGTTTCAATCAATCTAGCTTCCTGGAGGAGTGGAGACTTCAAGTATCTTGAAAGATGCTGATGAACTGGTCAGGTATCAGTCAAATACAGCAATGGGAGCGCAGAAGTGGTCAAGAATAGGACTGTAACAGTGATGACAGTAATAAAAGTTTAGACTTGAAACTGGGAAGCAAAATTCTCTCACTTAGTTCTTCAAAGTATATATTTAAGATATATTTAGGAGGTTTTTTTTTTTAATGAGACTAAGATTTATCATAGTGATATTTATAACATGGCATTAGGAAGCAAATTAACTATTAAATAATAGGGAAACTGAAATAAATTATAAACTTTAGGAGAAGATAGTTTACAGTTTCTGAAATTTATAATTTTGAAGATTATTTAAGGAGGATGTGTTCTTAAAAAGTAAGACAAATTGTAAAATAGTGCTATAAGTACCGTACCTCTTTTATATATATGCTGTTGTACATATTTATTTAAAAAGACAGAATATTCAAATTATTGTATATACGATGTCCTTTTGTTAGGGCAAAGGTTTCAAGAACATATAGATGACTATGAAGAAACCATTCAGCATTCATTAATAGTGATTATCTCTATATAGTATACATAGCTATATGTGTGATTTTTGCTTCCTTTTGAAACTTCGAAATATGTCTTACATTTTATATGACAAACATGATGAACACACTCTAATGTGGCTCCCATGAGTCCTGCCTCCTGATGTTCAGATCTTGAGTGTGGACAGAACCTTTGACTTGCTTCCAACCAACAGCATGTGATGAACATGATAGCATTTCAGTCCTTTGATTATGTTACACTGATAGGTGTGTACAATTTGGATAGGTGCATAATGATATCTCACTGTAGTTTTAATTTTAATTTTCCTAATGACTAATGATTTTAAATATATTTTTATGTGCTTATGTGGCATCCGTGTATCTTCATTGATGAAATGTCTCTTCATGTAGTTTATCTATTTTATAACTGGATAGTTTTTAAACTGTTAATTTTGAGAGCTCTTATGAGTAATGTATTGAATGTATATACATATTAGATGATGGAGAAGTTGAAGAGATATTGGCTGGAAATCTAGACAAGTAAGCAGTCAGGTTTCCATATTAGTCTGAAGCCCTGACGGGAAGTAATAAAGATTATAAGGCTGTGATAGTCAATATGGCGTAGGAGCACATCTTGAGGAGGATAATAACGTCATTCCCTGAAGCACAGAATGGTCCCTTACCCTCAAAAATTTTATTGTATGTTAATAAATAAAGTGTTTCTCCATTCCCTGGATTTGAAATTTTTATGTGTGTTCT